ACCCTGAGGAGAGAGGGGGTCTACCGGGGGGGGACCTAGCGCAAGGAAAAGCGGCGGGGGCGGGAGGGGGGCAGCGCGGTAGGGGAAGAGACGGTAGTACGGAACCGACTCGTCAAACGTGACGTCCTGGGAGGACAAAACAAGGCGCGAGGTGGGGTGGTAAAACTGCCAACCAGGCGCGTCAGGGGGGAAGCCAAGGAAGACGCAGGGAACAGCACGGGAGGACAGCTTGTCCGCAGACAAGTCTCGGACAAAAGCCCGAGATCCCCAGACACGGAACGCAGACGCATCGCCAACCTTCCCCGTCCACCGCAGAGTGGGGGAGGTCTCTGGCAGGGAGACCCGGGGTTGAAGGTTGATCTGATGCGCTGCGTACTGTACCGCAAACGGCCACAGAAAATGGGGAGCAGCCGCATGGATCATGGACGTACGAGCGACATCCATGACCATGCCAATGCGGCGCTCAGCAATCCCATTTTGCTGTGGAGAGGCCGGAAGCGTGAACGTCTGGCGGATGCCCCTCGCACGACAGAAAGCTCGCAGAGGGCCAGAGGAAAACTCTCCACCTCTGTCAGAGTGCAGACGCAGAACAGGAAAGTCCGAGCCGAAACTCTTCCTGAGCTGGAGACGAGCAGTGCGGATCCAGTGGATCAACACCTCAGTGACCTCATCCTTGCGGCGCAAGGGGAAGACTGCAGTATAACGCGAGTAGTCGTCAACCACCAGGAGGATAGCGCTCGTGACCCTATCCACGGACGCGGGCTGGGCCCCACACGTCCATGTGAAGAGTCTGCAGCGGAGCCTCTGTCGGCGGAAACTCGGAGGAGTGAGGAGTGGCGCGCTGCCGCCCCTCGACGCAGGGAACGCAGGTAGGGGCAGGCCCCGAAGGGAGGGGAGGGAGAGACCGGGGGAGACCAGAGACAAGGACACGAGAGGCCATGCCTCGGAGACGAGGCAGGGAGGGGTGACCAAGACGGTGGTGCCAGAGAAGAGTCTGGCGGGACGAGAGGCGACACGAGCAGGGGGCAGACTCAGGACCAGACCTGGACGCTGCAGCAAACACCTGACCCGGCGCAGCTACCTGACCAAGTACAGCAACCGGAGGAGACTCGGTAGTCAGTGTGTACAGGCTCGACCCCGGCCGATGGGTAAACGTGGCCAAGTGTCGGCCCGTGTCAGCACACGTGCAGTGGGTCACCCGCTGACGCGCAGGAGTGAACTGGTCAACCCCCCCATCCTGTAGGTCAGCACCCGCCACCAAGTTCGTAGAGAACGAGGGGAGGTAAAGACCTGACAGGGAGCCAGACGGGACCGCTGGACACGGTAGCACAGTGGAGTAGTGGGCAAGGACAGGACCCCCAGAGGGGTCCGCCAGGGAGACCGCAACCGGCCGACTGAGCGGCGTGAGAGTGGTGCAGTCTCGAAAGAAGGAGCGGGAAGCACCCGAGTCAAGGGTGAAAGTGTGCAACGCCTGAGCAGACGTGGTACCTGAGAGAGCAGACTCACCAGCACCTGGAGCAGCAGACTCACTAGCACCTGGAGCAGCGGACTCACGGGCACCTAGAGCAGCAGACTCACTGGCACCTAGAGCAGCAGCGACACCGCCCGGGTCGGGCGGAACACTCAGGTAACAGTCACCGTCATCACTAGTAGACATAACATACATGACAGCAAGGATGGCATCATAGTCAAGATCAAAGTTAGGAACCCCAGACCTAAGCAGATCATGCCAGCGAGGGAGCTCAGTGGCGTCAGGGAACCGGATACGCCAGGCGTCTGTCAGGCGGCCGAAGCAGCGCTGGGTGGTGTGGGAGCCGCCACACGGCTCCCCAGTGCGGTCACCAGTACGCAGAACGTAGGCATAGGGACCAGCACCCCCAGGCCGCTGACGCCCAGCGTACCACTGGTGAAGCTGCTGGGGTGGCGGGGCCTCACGAGAGCGCTGCTGCTGCTGACGCTGGCCACCACCGAAGCCTCCCCGCTGCACGGAGCCACCCCGACCAGCGCCACCGCCACCGCCGCCACTGCCGCCACCGTTGCCACCGCCGCCACCGCCACCTCCTCCACTCCCACCGCCGCCGCCGCCGCTGCCTCCGCCTCCACCGCTGCCACCAGAGCCCCCACCTCCGCCACCACTCCCACCTCCACCCCCACCCCCCCCGCCGCCTCCACCGCCACCACCACCACCCCCGCTAGCTCCTCCAGCACCCTTGCCTCCCTTGCCCTTGCTGTTGCGGCGCCTCCCGCTAGGGGCAGACGCAGCGCCGACTGACTCAGAACCAAGGAGGTCGACAACAGTAGCAGAGGCAACAGAGGGCAAAAGGGGAACGGGGGAGCACCCCTCAAAGACAGGGGTACGAGGGTCACCACGAGAGGCTCCTACAGCGACTATGCTCTTCTCAGCCGCTAGGAGGTGCGCTCCTCGAGGAGGTCAACGGTGAGTGTGGTGGGGCAGAGAGCGAGGAAGTGATCCCTGACCGAGCGAAGGGAGTCAGGGAGCCGGGTGACTAGGTAGTAGAGGGTGATATACATGGGGGGGTTGTGGGCGCAGAACTCAGCAGGAAGCGCAGCGCGGTAGCGAGTGTCACTAGTGCGGAGGTGCGTAATGAGGTCAGCGACTGTAGCAAAGGCGGCGAGGTCAGGGAAAAGGTACGGCAGCATGAGGCGACTAAGGGCAGCAGAGGCAGGGGAGGAGTAGCGCGCAACGACAACGTCGTACAGGGTCTTAGCAGTCTTATACTGAGTGAAGTGCGCACGCTCAGCAGACGGCAGGTGACTACGCACAGCAAGGCGGGCAGCAACATCGCGTGTGTTCCAGCGTGAGCGAACAGTACTATCAGCATCAGCAGTAGGGGGAGGATAGGCACCAGACGTGAGGTCAAACAGCGAGACATCGTCTTTGCTATCACACTGCAGGAAAAGCTGCAGATCATCAAGCCTGACCTCAAAGTCTATCGTACGACCCTCAGCGTCAAAGGTAAGAACAGCAGGACTAGCCATGGCAGTAGCAGTAGCAGGCTAGCAGGAGCAGCAGAAGCAGGCTAGCAGTAGCAGGAGCAGTAGGGGCAAGGCTCGGCGGTGCGCTTACCAGGGGCGGGTAGGTGAAAGCCTGCGAGTGGTGGGGCAGGGCCGAGGTGCGCCAGCAGGAACAGGGCCGCGACAGGGCGGCAGGGCAGGGCCGCGGCTCGGCTGCAGGGCAGGGCCGGGACGGCGGCGGCGGCTGCGACGAACGGCGGCGGCGGCGGCTGGCACGGCAGCGGCGGCGGCGGCTGGCACGGCAGCGGCGGCGGCTGTCGCAGGAGCAGCGGCGGCAGCTGTCACGGCAGGAGCGGCGGCGGCTGTCACGGCAGCAGCGGCGGCGGCTGTCACGGCAGCAGCGGCGGCGGCTGTCACGGCCGTGGCAGAAGCGGCAGCGGCAGCAGGTGCGACGGCAGCTGTTGTTGGGGCGGCGACGACGGGGCGGCAGGGCGGCTACGACAGGCCGTGAGGAGCCGCGGAGGGGGCCGCGAAGGGGCCGCGAAGAGCCGCAGAGGGGCCGAGAAGGGGGCCGCGAAGGGCCGCAAAGGGCCACAAACGGCCGCGAAAGGGGCCACGAAGGGCCGTGAGAGGGCCGCGAAGGGCCGCGAAGGAGCCGCGAAGGGCTGCGACGGGCCGCAAGGGGGCCGCGAAGGGGCCGTGAAGGGCCACGAAGGGGCCGCGAAGGGGCCGCGTACCGCGAAGGGGCCGTTAAAGAGGGGAAAGGCCACCAGGGGGCCGCGTGTTTTCAGGGCAGGGCGCGAAACGCGCTTCGGGCAGGCTAAAAAAAAAAATTTCTTAAGGTGGGCCCTAGGAAGAAACGGTCCCACTAGGGAACCCGCTCTATACCATGTGAGAATCGAGGGATGAAATTGACTAAGGAAATTGGGGTACAAGTACAAAACCTAACAAGTGTTGTACCCCCTAAGGCTAAACCCACTGTAGCCTACAGAATACAAACACATATAATGTTTGACATTGCGCACCCTACAATTTGCTCGTTACCGTTACCCGCTAAGGGAACATTCATGTGTCAACATTTGTGTCTCAAACATATTGTGACGCGCAAAAACAACATAGAACGTACAATGTCACAAACACGTGCTGCCCTAATGCGAATGTTACTCTATTTTACAGTGGTCCGCGTCAATTGCGCTGGTGTCGCATACGAATTGGACGAGGCCACGTCACCACCCTGAAATCGCACGCAACGACCAATGTCAAGCAATTGCATTGCCCAACCGCATGCATCTGGACGCTGGACGACATGACAGTTTTGCGCGGGAAACACAACCGCCACTACCGGGCAGCCTCGAAAAGGGTTTCCTACCTTGCATTACACGCCAACCTGCAAGACGAAACCACTCCCCTTCTCGAGCCTTCTCTCCAGCCATCTTCCTGGATGACTTCTTTGCCACATTGTTCAACATTCATTTCGTGTTTCTTGTTTCTCCAGCTCGCTAGATCTCGACCCCTCTGTTAGACATGGCGCGTAAGCGTAAGAGCTCTGCTGAAGCCGCCAATGTGTGCCCGCGGGATCTCAACGAGATCCTGTATATTGCTTGGATGAACAAGCAGCTGTCCGCAGGTCGCAAACCCTCTGGCCCGCAGCCAGAAGGTACTCCTTCGCGTGGCGACACCTCTTACCAGGCTCGTCGTGACGTCTCGAAGGTAACAAGTATGGTGAGGATGACGATGACGACGCCGACTATAACGAGGATGCCGACGGCACCGATGACGATGCGGACTCCGGAGAAGAGGAGGACAAGAGCATATCTGACTCTAAAGATGACGGCGACGACGATGACGCTGAGGCCGACGACGACGACGCACCGAAGGAATCGCAGCCCGCAACTCCACCTGTTCGCCGCGGTCATGCGAGGGCTGCATCTGGAGTCAAGAACGCCGCCAAGGGCGGGGAGCCACCTCGCCGCGCACCAAAGGCCCGCAACCACATGCCTGTGAAGCGCATCGTGTGGTCGCCCATGGAGAACACGATCCTCGTGGCCGCGCGCTGGTTCATGAAGGATGAGCTGGAGCCGCTGCTTGGGAAGCAGGGATCCCTATATTGGGCCCGCCTTGTGCGACACATCGAGACGGAAAATCCTGTGTGGGTTCGCGGCGTTAACGCCGTGCAGAAGCAGTGGCGCAATCTCGTCGTAATGTTCAAGCAGTTGCAGAAGGCGGATAAGGCGTCTGGGAATGGCGTGGTGTGTAAGCCACCGTGGCGGCCGTATATGGAGTTATTTCAGAACAACCGGGCAGTCGCTGCGCCGCATGCCGTGGATGGCGGTGGGGCTATACACGTGAACGTGCCGTGCGGGTTCGCTGTGCCGTCTACGTCCGCTCCAACCACCTCTACGCCGACGTTAACAGGTGAGGCCTCTCTTCATACATGACACTGTTTGTATTGATGTATGCGGGCGCAATATCCATTACACTTACGTCGTACGCACATGTTGTAACACATAGCAACAGTAACAAATCGAGGCCGGTTGTTAATTATTTTTGCATTGAGCTTGTGCGTGTTGCGGAGACGGCTACCATGGCCGCGGCCAAGCTGGTCTGTGACACCATCAAGGGATGCCACGCAGATGCGATGGCAAAGCTGGAGGGTCTCGTCCGCGCCTGGATGCAGCAAGATGCCGAGATTGCGCGCACGCGCAACCAGGGTCCGGCTCCAACGCCACCAACCGCCAACGGCGTCCCCGAGGATGCGGCCACCCAGCCCGCAACGACCGCCGCCGAAGGCGGCGACGGAGGATGGTTCCGTTGCGGACAGCGCGGTGATGACGGTGCTAACCCGGACGAGGCCGAGGAAGTGTGGGTTCGCGGCGACAACGTGTAAGGTACGACGCCTCCAATGCTTCGCCGAGCATCTTCCGCCTTTCACGCAATGTTGCCTGGTTGCACAGCACGACCGGCTCCCATTTGAAATCCGCTACGGCGCCACGGATCCACCAAGGATCCCGGTTCCGAGGCAAGTTTACCCACGACGCGTTGACACGCCTCACCTCCCCCATCGTCTCACACATGTTGTGCAGGACGATGCAACAAGACGCACCTGCAAGCACGCGTCAGAGCTTGCAGTCATTGCGGCCTACGAAGAGCCTCCACCTTCGTTTGAAGGCGCCGATGCAGCGCTCTACCGCCATGCGCGTCGCGCTCTGGCAGTAGTTGAAGCACTGCTCCCAGTCCTCCATTAGGCCTTCGCGGGTGCATGCAGGGGGGTTAGGCAGAAATCCCTAAGGGCGGGTCCAGCTCATCACAGCTCAGGTCAATATTTGCCTCTGTAACCATTTCCAGTAGGGTAACCACGTCAAATCTTGATACCAGCCGGGATGACGCGCTCGGTTTTCCCACATGCAAAACCAGTTTCATGCCACAACACATTTCAAACTCGAAACTTTTCCGAAAATTTTGCGAACTGGGAAGTAAGAGCAAATCAAACTCTCTCGCTCACACATCCCAGTAACAGAGTGTACTTGTGATTGCGAAATGGATTATTTTCGTCAGGAGGTAATCTGTCTCGCAAAAGTTCCGATTCCTCGAGTGTCTTCCCACGAAGTCTTCTGACGAAGTCTTCCGATTGCACGCATGATTTTTTTCCCCACCAACTTCTGTTTGCTGTGTCCGTGTTGATGGTACACCATTCTGACGGGGCAGGTTCTGTGCCCGCCCGGGATCACCATGACACTGCACGTGTTGAGGTTAGAATTGGCTGTTTGTCATCCGGACAGTCAACATTTTATTACAAGGGTGTTACACCCCGAAACGAAACGAGTTGGACCCGCCCTAAGGGGGTGGGCTGCATCACCGACTATTTGATACGGCGCTATGTCGCCGTTTTTCAAGCTTTCATGTAACGCACTGTTCATGAACACGCGTTGATCGTGTGCACTCCCCGGGTACCCGATCGGGTAGTCCCAGATGATGCCGCGAGCGTCACATGTCAACTGCAACTGCACGGCGTACGCAGACTTCCGTGTGTAATACTCTTGCCTGTGCCCCTCCATCCCCTTCATGTGTACGTGCGTCCCGTCAATAGCCCCCACTACCGCAGGTACCCCTTTCACGGCGCGGAACTCCTGGGCCATCTCATCAAGGTCGTCGCGGGTGGGGAAGTGAACCCACTGCTGTTTGAAGGCCGTGGTGAAATGCATCAGCCACACGTCGACGAGCTCATGGCACAGGGTCTTCGACAACCCGAAGAGGTGAGAGAGGTCTACGTACGAAGGTGCACTCGCCAAGTATTTGATCGACACCAGATTTGCCACCTCGTGGGTGATGTAGTACCGGTCGACGTAAGGCTGCATATAGTACTTCATGTCGTCGACCACGTAGGCGAGTATAGCTCCGTTGATTCTGTATATGTCCCTCAACTCCCCGTCTTCCATTCCCTGCAGGTCCTCTAGCAACAACTAGTAACGCCGACGCCGCAAGCTGCCCCTTCTTGCACGCTCGGCCGTCCTGTTGGAGCCGTGCGAGCTAGCGGAAGACGACACGTCCTCGTCGAAGACGTACGACTCCAACAAGCCGCCTACCCCTTTGGCGACCACGTCCATGAAGATGCTGTAATAGAACGTGATCCATGCGACTAGGAGTTGCATGAGGAAGGGTACATCCACGGGCTCTGCCTGGCTGATATGTGTGTAGGCAGTGCTGTGCATGCAATGGAATGTTGATGTACTTGTACTTGTGCTGAACATCGTGCCTCTGTATAGGTGTTGGTGTTATCCACTCGGTGCTGCACCATTTGCAACACCTGGTAAGAGGAGCCTGCCCGGCGCCAAAACGAATGTGCTCGAGTCAAATTGGGTGTGCCCAGTAGAATGACGCCAAATGTACAGCACACTGAGTCGCACACTGTCGCGGTACATCCGTTTTTTGTGATGCGAAGATTTGCAAATTTACAGGCGCGACTCGGGAAAACGGGGATTGAGACACAAGTGTCTACACAGGAATGTTCCCTAATTTGCTATTCAACATACTCAAATGCCTTCGCTTAATATACTACTTTGTTTCGATTGTGCAATCTTCGTTCACTCACTCAATAGCACTCGCAGTACTTGGTACAAAGCCATAACCCTTTTTGGACCGCACACAGATATTCACTTCCAACTTATCACGTTTTGGGGGGAGGTAGACGCCTCTCAGCGACCAGCACCAATGCTCATGTGCTCTCTCGTAAACAGGCCCTATATTATCCAGATAATTTATCCTAATTTGCCTGATTTCATGATAGTGCTAGGGTGCTAGGACTGAAAAAGCTAGGATAAGATAAAATGTAGGACTGTATTTTCAGTATAAGCCTACTTATACACACTGAAAAATCATTTTTGTGGTGTACATATAACACTGTAATGCCTTCCGAACAAGGATTCAGGCTACCGAAAAGAGAGACGCAGGCGAGGATCGAACTCCTAATCTATAATGTCGCAGCCCTCCGTCAGGTCCCCACGTCTCACCAGGTAGCCGCCTCGCCCCAGGTAGCTGTGTCTGGTAGGGTTCCCGTGTCTGGTCCGATTGCTGCGTCTTGCTCGTCTCAGTCGCTTGCCCACCCCACCATTCTGTACCACCACCGCCTTGGTCACCCGTCCCTTTCTCGCCCCGCGCCATTCCCTGTGTCTTCCTTGGTTTCCCGATGACTCTTCCTCCCTTCGTCCGGCCACCGAGCCCTTCCAGACTTTCCACTTGGACGTCTGGGGCCTCGCCTCGCGCCCTGTCCTTGAGCGAAAGAGTTTCTTCCTGGTGGTCGTTGAAGACTACTATCGCTACACCACCGTGTTTCCTCTGGCGAGGAAGTCCGACGTGACTTCTACGCTGATCAGGTGGTTGCTTACCACTGAGGACACTCGTGGTCGTCGTGTCAGTTGTCTCCACTCCGACCGTGGGGGTGAGTTTCGCTTCGGCATTCTCGCCGGATTCTCTCGCGAGCAGGGCATGCGACAGTCCTGGACGCTTCCAGAGTCCTTGCAGCAGAATGGGGTTGCTAAGCGCCGCATAGGCTTGGTCATGGATATCACACGCACCTATCTACTTACGCCACCCCCTCACGTTCCTCCCCTTCTCCCCCTCCCCCCCCCCCAACCCCTTTCTCCACGGCGACAAGCCCTGCAGGAAGAGAGAGGGGAGGGACGGGCTGCTGGCTGGTCACCCCCACCACCCCCATATCTCCTCCCCCCCCCCACACACGGCAGAAGCCGCTGGCACAAGCGCTTGCGCTCGCAGCTGACGCAGGCGCTGGCGCTAGTCGCTGGCACTGGCGCTGGCGTTGGTCGCGAGCGTCCGCGGGGCGACGAAACGGGGGCCGCGGACGACAGGATGGCGCTGAGCGACAAGCGGGGGCCGCGGACGACGGGATGGCGCGGAGCGACGAGCGGGGGCCGCGGATGATGGGACGATGGAGAGCGACGAAGGGTCGGGCGCAGCGGGGGGGGGGGACGGACGGGCAGGGTGCACGGGGCGCGACGGGCGGGCAGGGCGCACGGGGCGCGGGCGATGGACAGGGCGCAGCGGGGGCGCGGCGGACGGGGAGGGCGCACGGGGCGTGACGGACGGGCTGGGCGCAGCGGGGGCGCGACGGATGGGCAGAGCGCACGGGGTGCACGCGGGGAAAACGGGCTGCGCGCGGGGTAAAACGGGCTGCACGGGCCAGCTCTGAAACCATGTCAAGATTTGACTAAAGCCTAGGTACCATAGAGGTAGGAACTTAGGCTAGGGTAGAAGAGAGGATGTCGAGAGAGAAGGGCTTCACTATATATCAGGTTCAAGATATGGCAAGCAAGCACATATGGCCAAGAGAGGTACACCACCAATAGAAATATCAATAAGTACAATAACTACAGCAAGCAGGATATAATATAAATCATACAACCAATACTTGAATCAACAAAGCCAATGCAAGCTACACACAACGGTCATAACTTATATAAACAATACTATTTAAAATCGGTAAATTTTCCCTGTAAAGGCAGGGTAGACATACTAACCAATACTGAAGCATCAGGATGAATTTTCATATTTAAAAATACAACCCAGATGGCTCTGGGTACCTTGAAACGAATCCGCTGCCACCAGAGCCCCCACCTCCGCCACCACTCCCACCTCCACCCCCACCCCCCCCGCCGCCTCCACCGCCACCACCACCACCCCCGCTAGCTCCTCCAGCACCCTTGCCTCCCTTGCCCTTGCTGTTGCGGCGCCTCCCGCTAGGGGCAGACGCAGCGCCGACTGACTCAGAACCAAGGAGGTCGACAACAGTAGCAGAGGCAACAGAGGGCAAAAGGGGAACGGGGGAGCACCCCTCAAAGACAGGGGTACGAGGGTCACCACGAGAGGCTCCTACAGCGACTATGCTCTTCTCAGCCGCTAGGAGGTGCGCTCCTCGAGGAGGTCAACGGTGAGTGTGGTGGGGCAGAGAGCGAGGAAGTGATCCCTGACCGAGCGAAGGGAGTCAGGGAGCCGGGTGACTAGGTAGTAGAGGGTGATATACATGGGGGGGTTGTGGGCGCAGAACTCAGCAGGAAGCGCAGCGCGGTAGCGAGTGTCACTAGTGCGGAGGTGCGTAATGAGGTCAGCGACTGTAGCAAAGGCGGCGAGGTCAGGGAAAAGGTACGGCAGCATGAGGCGACTAAGGGCAGCAGAGGCAGGGGAGGAGTAGCGCGCAACGACAACGTCGTACAGGGTCTTAGCAGTCTTATACTGAGTGAAGTGCGCACGCTCAGCAGACGGCAGGTGACTACGCACAGCAAGGCGGGCAGCAACATCGCGTGTGTTCCAGCGTGAGCGAACAGTACTATCAGCATCAGCAGTAGGGGGAGGATAGGCACCAGACGTGAGGTCAAA